AAAAATATCTGGTAATTCTTTGTTTTTACATTCTTCAGGTCAAATATCCCAATCAGCTCAAATATCAAAGAGAAATAAAAAATGCATGCCGTGGAAGAGTTCGGGTCTTAGGAGGTTAATTTAAGTGAAATCATAAATCACGGATCATTACAATCAGGTGTAAACTTACATTTTGTTTGACAACATGTTTTGATTATGCCATCATGACATGATATGCTAGAATCCTGCGTCCCATTTGCCTCGGAGCTCGGAGGGACATCACTCCCAAGTAAGGAAAAAGCAAAGAAAATCGGGATTTATTTTACTCCTTAGCAAAGTAAATCCATCCATTTGTGCATCTCAGAGCATCACTCTAAGAGCATTTTTAAGGAAAGAGATGCCAATTTCATTTTTTCCAAAAGAGCTGATAAGAACCATGTGGGAATCTATATTTAAATGATTATATTGTTGCTAAACTGCCTCCTCAATATACACTTACCAAAGATGTGTTGCAGGTCTTTAACTGACTAAATGAAAAACAATATTGACACAGACATTAAATGGAGAGCACTAAAACAACCGGATAAAAAAAACTAAAACCTAAAATGCTGTGTAGGAGTTGTTGAGAGATGGACAACAGCCCTGCTCCTTTCAAGCTAAAATAAACGCCACTTTCCCCACTCTCTTTCTCTCGCCATCCCACTCAATCTGTCCGTCAAACAGCTGAGGCCCCCGGGAGGCCTCCGCTGCACCTCTAACAGCCCACAATAACTTCATTGACACCGAGGCGTCCCATTAATCTTCATTTGTCCTATCATATCCTGCCATTGGCATGGAAATGTCTGCCCATCTCCGGCTTGAAGTGACAGACAGCGCCGGTGGTGGCGAATGAGCTGTAAAGAAGGGCAGGGTGTTAAAATAGTAAGGGGTGAATGTGGGGTGCCTGTCTGTCCATTTGGCAGCTTCCGTTCCCCATTCAGATGACTTGAACCTATGAAAACACACACGTTACACATGCAAGCACGCACACACACTGTGTCGGGGGATACTGCCAGCAGGAGGTAATCTGATTTCTCAGCTGCAC